AAAGAACACTTTGCAAGTAAATCGAAGCGAAGCCCTCCAAGCACGCAATCTCGCGACAGCAGTTCATGAATCTACCTCAGCACTCGATCGGCTACACAGATATTTAGAGCAGTTCCTGGCAGTCCGCGTCGAAGCATACGCGCAACAGGGCAAAGTCACTAAGGTGTATAGTGATGCCCTATTCTTTGTCGACAACTTCCCCGGCTATTTGAGGACATATAATATCGCCACACGTATTTTTGATCAGACAACAGAGATTTAAGAAAGCAATAGCGATATGCGCAGGGTTCTGAATAACGGTGAAGGAGGGTTCCGCCGATATAATCCACTGACAGACACAATATTCTACCTCTCCAATGAAGCTTACCATATGCTTGAAAAGCGTATGGACATGATGCTCACCGTGATCCTAAACGAGCTCTCTTTTGGTGACATCCTGCGGTGCATGACTGTACCCAAAGCGTGTCGCCAATGCATTATTGATTGTCCTACAATGGTCACGCTACAAAACTAATATTTACATTCGAATGGCATAGGATCCTGCGAACTACGAACAGAATACAACGGGGGTGGGGATCTAGCATGGCACTTGGATGCGTGCTATGTCTTGAATAAGTAAACAGCAACGCCTATGAGATATTCCAGTAATAGCAGCATCAGCAGCGGTAAAACCCACATTTCGTCGCCATGTTGTAAAAGCGACGGAATAAGGTCTAAAAAAGAAGGCACTACTGTAGGAAGGCTGACTGAAGTAATCTTCTTCTTCTAGCTCACATATTAGGAAGACTAAGAACAGCCTACTATGTAGTGCTACATTGTCTCTTTTCACGCAGTCTGATACTTTATCCACAGCTCCAAGTTAATCAATGGGCAATGTCTGTGAGCGTGATGAAAATACCCTGATGGTGACTGCGCTGTGGGTGTTTCTTAATTATCATAACAAACCATTAATTAACCAATCACCACCGCGAGTGAAAGAAAAAAAGACGTACTTCGTCGTAATATTCGGAAGGCTGTATGATATCCATGATAACTCTTTTTGGGGGCAGGTTGCCAATTTCCGTTGTTCTTTTATACTCTTTACTGATAATGGATAATGGCAGGAATAGTAAAGGGAAGAGAGCGAATCGACCAAGAAGCAATCATAATCCTTTTTTATTGTTTGGAACGGAATATGAATTTAGTGTGTCTGTGTGTCGAAAGCACTGCTCGCTACACGGTGTGGTATCGTGATCTCAGTCATGAAAGGAAAGGGATGCCCTTTGGTTGGTGGAAGAAGCAATCAGATTATGCGTAGTGCTCGACTGCTTTGTCTCTTATTAATCATCTCAATGTAATCCAAGTATTACAACACACGTCTGAAATGGAAACGCATGTATTCTTGACTTAATGAGTCATTTCAATCGCCCTTCGTCAGCTGCCGGCCTGCTTTGTCCTGCCGCGCGAAAGATGCCCTGTAACAACTATGCTTTATGTAGCTGGAAGATCACTACATGTCATCGAGCTCAAATTTAGATTTCCGTAAATATTGATCTCTCCTCGTCCCCATATGCAATATTACGCTGGGTATGTTGAAAGGAGAAATGCAGCAAACTGTCAATATCTTTCGACAGGTCATCCTGCAAAACAATTGAACGGGTCTAAGTTACACAAGGATCTCGCCGTCCAAGTAACGCAGTCTCTCTTTCACAATCTCTAACGTCTTTGCGCATCTCTCTCCAATTTGAAGTAATAATAAATGATTTTACTCACAACATTGTCCAAAACGAAACACGAATGTGCTCGATATGCGATGAGAATTCTGGAACGGAAAGATGACTTGTGGCCTAAGTCCGTTCCAAAGTCTATTCTTTATCCACACCTACACTTTATGTCGAGCAAACCCGTCTCTAACAAACGCTCTAACATGTCCTCTCTGTACGATCTAGACCTTGGTTGGCCCTCAAGTAAGTTATAAGCAAATGCGCGGCTTGTGTCAGGGTTGTTTGGCGTCATTGCATTATGCATGATACGGGATGCTTACAAATCCAAACTAGCAAAAATTCACGTCCAAACTATTGCGGACCGGTGCACGAAACATATTTGCAAGCTCTGGCTTCATCGTGATGGCAAGTTTGAAATTGGAAACCAGGTCGTGCAGGGAGAGACTGCTGGAGAGATTCCTGAGTAAAAAGTTCTACTTTCACAATCTACATCTTTCTTACAGTGTTTGTCGTTGGTTAAGCTTCTCTTGCTGTTTACTTTATCACTTTAAACATATTATTGCTAATTTAATACGATCTCATTGAATCCAAGTGGTTCTGCTTGAGTTAGCTGCAGTTTTACCTGCCTGCAAAGATGCTTCCCAAGGAGACTGAATACGAGCCGAGGAACGGCTTTCAAGAGCGATTTCTATGATGCATACATACAACTGCCGGTATTGTTATTCATTGAAAACCACTGCCCGTCGGACGTCTATAGTTGAACAAAAACATCATAGCAAGCCAAGATTCTGCTTAGAACGATAGAATTTGAGAATGTAACATCTATGTATCTATGATAGCACTTTCATCATTTATCAATTGGTTTGTGATGTATTATGTATATGATCAATAACGGCAATGTGATCCTTGTCGTCGAAACCAGAAGATTGGTGGTGGTGCTCAACTCTTTGTTAATTTTGTTTGCATGTTTGTTTACCAAAACAAATGGTGATTATTGCTTGTGCACATACTGGAAATATTACATGCATGCAGCAGCATAAGAGCCTTATACTCTTATTTAATATACTGCGTGGGCGCCTTTTTTTCTTCCAATATGTTTGCTGTAGTCAGTAAAATGTAAGGTTGATTGTTAATAGGGGATAAAGTAAATGCAGGGCGAGGATGAGAAGACATTGGAGTACAGTATCTTGACAGCTTCTTTTGCAGTCAAATTTGACACTATCACGCAGTCATGAGTCTCTTTATTTTCATGACACTCGACTTAACAACCGTTTGGAATCAAAGCTCAGTTACATATTACCTAATCTGATTATCTATAACTAACTTGGAATGGGTGGAGAACAAAATGATCTCTGTAACGGTGGCGTTAGCCTCATGTTAACAAGTCATGCTTATCTTGATGTAAACAAGTTTTGAAGCGAAGAAAACTGACAGAAAAAAAACATATTTTATTTTTCCATAATCGTCTTAAAAAACAAGGGGGGACATAAAGTAATTTATGAGGAGAATTACGTTACTGTAACAGAGGCTTCTACTAGAAATAGCTAACATTTAACATTACGCTCCAACTTTGTTACAAAATGGTCTCATTTTAGAGCCTTGTGTGTATTGAGAGAAAGCAAAGCTCCCGTTGCCTTCTTGTAAACAAATACACTGTCCCGAGACCTCAAGTATGCATGCTAAATTATTCACAGTTTCTTTCATTGACTTTCGGTCTTCTCTACTATAGTCGTAGCGGTGAACGCATAAAAAAACTTGATCATACTTTGTTTATGCTCATAGAAAAAAGACTAAACACGAGACCCAGACTTTTTGCTACGCATTCCTTGTTTGACAACCTTGTTCGGTACAAAAATCTATAAAAGAAGGACAAGTCGCTCACCGTTTTGGGGTCTTTACCTCACAACGGACTCTTTAGTTTACTAGTACAACAGCCAAACTAAGCAAAATGAACCAGGTATGTACTTACTACAGACATCTCTCAATATCCCCATACCCAATGGTTGTTCTTTATGAGTCAGTGATTCTTCCTTGCACCTTTTGTAATCTAACGCATCATTTACTTTTAACTTTATAATAGTCTCAGGAACAGCCCACCAAGAACCCCATTACTCAGGAAGACGCATCGCGCATTCAGTCCGCAGCTGACAAGTCTGACACTAACCAAGACTTCAAGTCCCGTACTCAAGCTGCTGCTGCTGCTAACGAGGAGGAAACAAAGAAGAAAGAAGCCGATCAATAATTCTGCAAATGAGGACCGTGTCTCCCCCTCGGTTTTAGCTACTAGTATTGCTGACCGCTCTTTTGGCACAAGATAGGAAAACCCCTTTCATAAAACCTTTGGTTGTCTTAATCAACAATAAAATCCATGTGCCTTATCATATCAATCTTGACATGCTCTTCGAGTGTTACATTTATCTACTTTAAAGATCACACTATGGAGTAGAGATATACAAGTCAGTGGGTATTATACTCCACAGATTTTTCACGATGAATGCATTTATGAAGAAGATAGATGATCTGTGGGGAAAAGGAAGTAATATAGTCTTACAGTCAAGGGATTACGTCCCAAAATGAAATTAAAAACATCGTGGTTTTATAGATGCTATGATATATGCTCTTAGCATTGTAACAAACTAGTATAAACCGCCTAGATAAGGCTAAAATAGCGATGAAGAGTTGGTAAATCTGTCACCGCTGCTACTACATAAGCATCGCGTCGACTACGCCATTTGAACAGAAATGACATTGGCATTCTTTCAACATTTACAACCGTATATGTCAAGCGGTCTCCGTTGTCGTCAACCAGCCGTACTTCCTCGTAGGGACCACTAAGCAAAGAATCCCAACCGCAGTTTGGCTGTCGGACCCGTGTAAGACTTGATGCATGGTCCAGAAAATAGAGATAATTCGCTCGATCCAGTCGGCAGTCGGTAAAATCCACCACAGTCAACGATGTAATACGGGCAAAAAAATTCATGATTGAGCGAGAGCGCAGATCAAACTGATGTAAAGTCAAAGATTGGACCGAGCTGTTGTCAGCCAACAATGCTGCGAATCGGACCAGACTATCGTCAGACGCATTGTCGTAAAATGTGTTGACGAGGTATATGTTTTCCAAGGTCACAATTTTGCCAACCAGAAGGAGTGTTGAGCCATCCGTGACGTTGAGACTGAGACGCCGTAACGGGCTTACGGAGCCGAGGTTGGCATGCTTGGACAACAAAAGATGGAGACCGCCATCAAGGTGATTGGACGGCGTTTCGTCGCCATAGTGTAGTTCAAAATCCTGCAGCATCGGCAGTTTGCTAATGACATTGCTAACGATTGGATACAAGTTGTCTCCGGTAGAGTGCAAGGCGAGTCTTTCCAAGCGAGGGCATTGCATGATTACTGCGGCTAGCTCTTTGCTACTACAGCTGATATTGGAACCAGTATTCAAAGAGCGTCTTGGTTGCAACAACGTAGTAATGGAGAGCATTGTAAAAATTTCCAGTTTCGTGAGCGCGTACATGACGCTATCATCGCTCAAAGGCAGATGATGGGAAGACGGATGAGGCACTGGCACCATCGAATGCGTTTTGTTCTTGAATGCAAGCACCACGCTTTGAAGGTTTGGACACACGGGCATGATGCGTGTTATGGATAGAACATCACCATGTTGGAAGAAAGCAATGCGAAGCATGTTTCTCGTAAGAGGCTGAAAGTGACCCAGAAATAGTCTTAGATCGATTATTCTACATGCGTTGAACACTGTTGATGATGGAGTGGCATAGGTGACCATATGTTTGATGTTAATATCACTAATTAAAGCAGATGAAATTCCACAGAAAAGTCTAGACAACCGTCCAAATTCCTCTTTTTTTTTACATCAGTCCATCAAATATATCATTATTTACTTACCGATCTCTGTTTGATCAGTACAATTACAAGACCTAGCAATGCGCATCATTTTGAGAAGCCGGCTTTGTTGGCTGAAGCGTTTGAAAGCAAGTGTATCAACATGGCTTCCGAGGCAACGATGCACAAGCGTGTTTTCCAAATCATGAGCTTTTTCATTGAGCTCGACGTCGCGCCAAACGTTGGTGCAAAAGATTGGTACGCGTTCCATCCATAGTTCTGACACGCCCATTGCTTTCAGACAGTCCTTTTGGTCGAGATAAGAGAAGATCTTGTTTGGGATCGCGGTGACAGCACACTGAACTGGATCCAAAAAACGAGTGACTTTGTGTCGATTTTTTTCGTCTTGATCAAAGCTTGATTCTTTTGAGTAGAATGCCTCAAGGCGCTGCTGAGGTTGATGACGATGGGGCTGTTGAGGCACTTGCTCTCCTGATTCGGGTTGTGGCGCTAGCTGCGTTGGTTGTTGTTGTTGTTGCTCTTGAGCTTGCTTTGAGCAAGATCCCGTTGATCGTCCAGCAGAAGAAGCTTCTGAAACATTGGCCTTGTTCTTCTTGGCGCGAGCACGTTTACGATTGCGTGAGTTTGGATGGTGTGAGCTCATATTGGAGCAATCGATGTTCTTTGAATGGAAAAAAATGACAAAAGAAGCGTATCAAAAATTAGATGTCTTCAGGTAGTTTATAAGCTTACATGTTCCTAATTTATCAGACAAGAACTATCTGTCATAATTGTCAGCTCTTGATTGGATTTCTTTTTTGTGTGTCATCTCACATGCTTACAACAGTCAGCGAAAAACATCAAATGTATATAACCTTTTCTCTGGTTACTTCGTGTCAATAACTCTCTTATTGTATTACAAATACACTTTAGCGACAACAATTATTATCACCATCGACAGAAATGCACAAAGAGCCCATATCTATAATATACCACATACATGAAAACGTTAATTATCGCACATACCCTAAAGTCTGTTGTAGGTGGCATGCACCACTGATGTATATTTTTCTGTGATATTTTGACTTGATACATTTGACACGCATATCTTAGCAACGCGGATCGAATCTGCGCCGTCCTTTTTTGATTGACGCGATTCTTCCGGAAAATTTATCCGAAAGCTGTCAAAAAGAAGCTTCCTTTTCCTTCGGATTCTTAAAAAAGTGAAAATTTTTTTCTTCGTTGGGGCGTATAAAGACGCCCGCGTTCCCTAGCAACAGGACTTTTACAGGTTCTTCACGTTTTGGTAAGTTTTTTTCAGCATGGTTTATATTCTACCCTATCCCTCCTTCCATGTTTTTCTTATTGCTTTTTCCAATGATGATTAAGTCGTTTTTGAGTGTCAGTTATTATACGCAAACAACATGACTTTCACCTTGACATTGTTAATACTTGCCCTCTCTGAGCAAAAAGCTTTCACCCACCCTTCTCCTCTATCCTTTCTGGATTCGACAAAGCACACACCACAGCGTTTACTAATTCGCGCACAAAAGATGTTTATTCTATAGTCCTCCCTGGTGCCATCATCAATTATAGCTAGAATGAGTTAGATGTTATGACGCTTTATTTGCAATAAAAACATATATATGTATAAAAAAGTTTTATGTTCTTTTTAAATTGGGGTTTGGTTGTTGGCGGTAGGTTTTTCGATGATCTACGTAGAATCCCAAGTCATATTTCCCCATGTTATTAGATTCGAGAGGCTATTACGTATGTGAGTTATCTTTGTTGAAAGTATCCTTCCTTACCTCAACCCAGTACTCGTCAGGGTCAGCAATGAAAGCAATATTCTTCATGCTACCATCCTGAAGACGCTTGATAAACTTGACGTTCAATTGCTCAAAGCGTTCGCAGGCCTTTTGGATGTCATCGACGAGAACGGCAATGTGGCCATAACCACGGCCGGGTTCCTTGTTGCCGTTTGCATACGCGAAATCTGCTTGCTCCTCCGTGCCCCAGTTGCTAATTTATAGAAGACAGAAACAGAAAGCTCGATTTAACTTCTCTTCTGTCCAGGGTCTTCTTTCTTCGTTGGGATCTTATAACCACTCTCTATATGTCTTTTACATCTTAAGATGCACAGAAAGAAAGAAAAGAGAAAAACTTACTGGGTCAATTCAAGTACACCGGGAATACTGAAGCAAAGCTTCTTTTTTTCCTCCTCGGACTCTGGGAGCTTATCGACATAAGCCAAGAAGTACACCGTGAACTTGCCCGCGGGCATGTCATACTTGGTGATAAACCTAGCAGCAAATCAATGACGTTTGTTAGTATGAAAGGGTCAACTAAGAAATGATTCACACCGACGGACGGGGAGGAGGAGCACGCGTCAGACGACTTACTTCATGCCGAGAACTTCGGTGTAGAATTTGATTGAGGCTTGAGGGTCCTTCACGCGGACCATGGTGTGGTTGAAGATATAGGACGAGGGATTGGTAGTAGTGGAGGCCATTGTGAATTATACAATTGGACGAATGGTAGGTTTATAAAGAGAAGAGAGAAGAAAGAAAAACGTGCATTACGTGCTGAACAACAGGTAGGAATTTTATACCGCCCAGCAGCAGCGAATTTAAATGTGTCACACAACGCGATGCGCATGCTGGGGTCTGTCCTGGATCATTTCTTCATCATGACCTAATCCGTTTCTTTTTGCTGACACCCAGACGCTTTAATGATGCTAAGTCTGGATACTTTTTATATGACCTGATACTGTGTTCTTAAGGGTGCACAGCTCATAATTGACTGCACTCCCCTCACGGTCGTGGCTCTGTTAATGATCTTTACTGCATGGACATTGACACTATTACTCAGCAACAGCCAACGAGCTTAATGTTTACGTGTGTACGATTCAACTCCCAGATAAGCGGAGATGCTTCTGCTGATACTCCTTTCATGTCGGCAGAAGAAGTTCATAACCATATGTGTTTGTACAAGTGCTCTTCTTTGTTGTTATGTACATCGTTATAGGGCCGCTGCGGCGCTAGGCGGAAAAAGAACCCTATGTGATAAAATTAATTCGGACTCATTCTACGCTTACCATGAAGTCCTTTGACACTTTTAATATTGTATATGTAGTGGTACTGTATCATATCCGCGTCAATTGTCTGGATTAATTTCTCTTATCACAAATCAGAAGTATTACTGATGTATCGCGTCAAATGAATTGCTGAATAGACAGCGAAAGAGTGAGTGAAACAGAAAAGAAACGTACATAGACAATGAAAGTACAGGTGCAGCATAGGTGCATACTGACAAACGCGGTCACTGAAGGAACGTACAAACAATATATCAAGCTGTGGCGAAAGGTAAGAACAGTCGGTCCAAACATTTAAAATTTCGGCGTAGTAGTGTGCAGCGATACGACTCACTCACCAGAGTCGACCACTGCCAAACCGATTTTAATACTTGGCAGACATCATCATCATCATCTTGTAGTCAAGGTATAATTGCATGTACTTATTTCTACTGGTAAAATGACTGATAGCTATTTAAAGTATAGGTTGGCTAAATTTTGCTGACTTGTGCAGCAAGTAGACGTAGTAGCTTTATATACATTTAAATATATACGTGCCGGAGCACACGCCAGACTCTGCTGTATATAATTTCTTTATCAGACAATTTAGAAGATGATATACATAAAGTATAAACTGACAACTGGCACAAGCCAACCAGCCAGCAGTTAGCAGTATATACAGTACTACACAGGGCAAGCACTCGCAATGATCGGAGCAAAAATGGTCTATCAATCACACACATATTTTAGTCTAAGAGTTGCTAGATTATAGGTTATCATAGCTGAATAACTTTTGGTATAGTTTATGTGAGTATGTATCGTAAAGAAGCGGTGGTACGCATACGTAAGATGTTCACGTAATAAGTGTCTATCATTAATAACTGTTGGCCTTTAAATGCTATAGCACTGGCTTAACACCCCGCTGACAACAATTGCGAAGGACCCAGTGACAGGAGAGTTAAAATGATAAAGAGCACTGCATTTGTGTTGCAGTGTGATGTGGTGTGGTGGATGCAGATATTTAGCCAATGAATGACAGAAACTCTTTTTTGGGGATTTTTTTTAGCCTGTGGCGATGAAACTTACCCGATACTGGGAAACGTAATTAGTGAATGATGTTTTACCTCTTTAAACCAACAATAAATTCATGGCTTACACCTATCTATGCGTAGGTCCCGTCCTACTACTAGTAATATCTCTTAGTAACTCAAACAAATTGATCATGTAGTCTATAATGTAAAGCAGGAGACAAGTTCGAATAGGTGTTAGGGAGGTGGGGGAGGTGCGCCCAAGGTAAAAACATAAGCAATGCTGCAGATCACAGTACCCTGGGTCTCACAATGTAAGTCAGCGGGGCGGGAAAGCAAAAAAAAAATTGGGTTCTTTGAAGTCAGTTTTTTCTGTAATAGAAGCACTGCTTTATCCAGAAAGAAAAAATAGGAACGTGTGTTTTGCTATTTTAGAAACCATATTCATCGGGTCATGGTATGCAACTTCATTTTCTTTTTCTTTTTTTCCACTCTCTCTCCTCTCTTTTACTTTTAATTCTTCTTCTTTCCTGTTGTTCAGAGTCATATATATTGTTTTTTCTGTTTTTTTTTGTGTGTGTTTCTGTATTGTACTTGTCTTGTGCGTGTGTTTGGTTGAAACTTGACGTTAATAGTATAATCATCTCTACGGTTACGGACAATTACCGCATAATCAGCAACAATCGCCGCCTACATATCACAGCAACCAACCACATTATCCGTCCTCATCGCCTCAGCTGGCGTACCAACAGCAACAACATCAGCAACAACATCAGCAGCAACAGGAAGCAGGAGCGCAGCCGCCACCGCCACCACCACCATCACAGCATCACCACCACCAACCACCTCCTCATCCTCACGCTCACTCACAACAACAGCATCACCACCCTCACCAAACACATCCAGCTTACCATCGCTCTGCGAGTGATCATAACGATCGTCATTATGTTCCATTCTCTCCCGTACATCACCACCAACCGCCACCAACTGCTTCAGGACCAATCCCCATATCAGCATACGGTTATGTACAACAACAAAGTGCGGTACAGCAAGTGCCATTGTCGGTAAAGGGTGGACACGGTCAGAAACAGTCGTTAGAAAGGAGTAATAATAATCGAATATCCGAGGAAGAGGATAAGCAAGCAAGAATCATGTCCACCTTATCGCGCGAACCATACAGTAATGACGGCTTCAACTCGGTAAGGAAATCAGCATTGTGTTATCAGCAAAAACAGAGGAAAGGGATTTATTGGGATGGATATTGATGCAATATACTGCTTTACGCCAGCTGGGAGTTTGCAGATGGGGGGAGGGAATGCAATATACAAAGAAAGAAAGAAAGAGAGGCTATGTAATGGAGAAAGCGAACTGAATGTATTGGTCGTTGTGTCTTTCGCTATGGATTATATAGATAGGACCAGCAGCTGCCACTTATGCAGATCCATACAACAATAACCCATCAAATACTATCAGCAGTATTGTGCACAGTCCTGCTATTTCAGTACAGGACCTACCAACAACTTTGCCGCCATTGAACCCTCCTATGATGAGCAACAAGTCTGAACGTCCAGATCTGCGCACCGCGACAGCAATGCCTTACGATATACGGTACGTAGCTGGAAGGAAGGAGATAGTTGGGTAATTGTGAGTGTAATTATTATAGCGGCCATTAAATAAATGCGATTCGATTATGCGCCGGTTAAACCCATTAGGGACCAAGCTCTACGTGATAACGGTCCACCACCGCCACCGCCACCACAACAACATCATCATCCACAGCACCAACAACAACAACAACAGGCAGCAGTAGCGGCAGCGACAGCGGCGGATTTAGTTGTTGGAGAACTCTCACCTTACGGATGCGATGTACCTGGATGTTACGCAAGTTTTCCAGCATCGAGCGGTTTGTTTTATCATATGAAAACAGCACATCCCAATTTGGAGGGCATAGAAAAACCATACCGGTGTGCGATGCCAAATTGTACGAAGCGCTACAAGAACATCAATGGTTTGCAGTATCATCTGAGGGAAGCCAAGGGCACGTCAGGACATCCAGCACTAACAGCAGCTGCAAATGCAGCAGCAGCATCAGCCAATGGTGGATTAGGAGGAGCAGGAGGAGGCGAAGCTGGTAATGTTATCGATGAGAGATTAGCAAAGTCGTTCAAATGTCAAGCGGCCGGTTGTAAAAAGGCATACCGGACACAGAACGGTTTACGGTATCATCAGTCCCACGTACATTCAATACCACCAGCATCTTCATCTTCATCTTCATCATCAGCTGATCATCTGCGATATACTTCTAATCCAAGGAATGCATGGCAGTAATATATAAAAAATATACATGTTATATATATCTCTTCTTTTCCTTTATATACAAGTAACTTTTTTTTGTTATATTTTAATATTTCTTTTGCTAATTGACGTGCAACAACAACGACAACAAGACACACACACACACATACATCCTCTCTTTCCTCCTTCTTCTCTCGCCTTATTTTGTTTTTCTTTCTTGATATCGTATATGTAGTATATCTTCCCTCATTATGTTCTAGATGGTGGGGAAACCTGGTGAAAAAAAAAAGAGTGATTAGAAAAAAAAAACATGAAAACCTCCTTTTACGGCATAAAAGCTGTCTCTTTAACTGTAACCTACCAAAATGACACCGTCACCACGAACAAAAAGCATCTCGAAATTACGCTGCACAGTCTATTTGTTGGAATTCTGAATTAGCTTTTGCTGTTTATTCCTTTCTACATAATCGCCCCTATCGTAAAAGAAACCATCCACTGCGATAGTTTTAATTGTCTTACTCGAATGATTTCTTGATTTGTTTCCTCGCTGACATCGACAAGAGTAATAGTTTCTTCAACATCGCCTAATACCATGTTCAAATGGCCATCATAAGCCTAATAGAAAACAATGGTAAATTAAAAATTATTGGCTACCTTTATTTTTTTATTTATTGCCCTATGCTCTTTTGAACACATGCAAACACGCGCGCGCGTGTGTGTGAACGAATGATTATCTTACGTGCAAAACGCCTCTCAGTTCGCGATCACCTCTTAATTTAACATAGATTCTCTCATCGAGCGACAATCTGACCAAATCGAGCGGTTCTTCGACAGTACCAACATCGGCGTTGTCTGCCATTTTATTGTGTAATTGTGTGAGATTTAAAACGATGGAGAAGGAGTTTCCCACTTCCTTTCTAGCTAGTTTTCAAATATTAGCCACCAACACGACCCGCTTTTTCAGAACACCGAAAAAAATCAATTTTCACAGATTTAATGCGGATCCAGGGTATGCCTTCATCTTGCCTGCTTTAATACAGATATAAACGAAAGAGACATTTTTATACAGATTGCTTCATTCTAAGTTTGAGTATTAATGCCAGTATGCAGCATCCTACGTATCCTGATCCAGCTATGATTTTGCAGTAAAAATAGGGTTCTTTTCCACTACTACTATTATGATTGACTGATTCGATATAACCTGCTGCAAGCGATCCAAAAACACTGACAACCAAGGTAAGCATCTGGAGCGCTATAGCTGCTGGATACTTTTCCATTCCTACTATCGCAATAATAATGGCCGGTTCTATAATTATACATTATGCAGAAAGTTAGATACTTTTGTTGCTGTCAACAATTGAACATACCCACTTACTTGTTACTACGTAACAACCATACACTAAGCCGTTCAGTACCGCAAAAACCACAAGCGTCGCAAAACTGTGTGCGAACATCCAGTTGAGGTAGACAGTCAGTGAAGCAATGACCATGCACACGATGAAAGTATTCAAATTTCCAAATTTGTCGGCTAGAAACCTGAACCAAAAAATTTCATTTACATACTATATCAGCTGTGACTCTTATCAGCACCATTACTCTCTTGATATGTACCCATTTGCTAATCTTCCAATGAGCCCCGTTCCCGATAATGTTGCAACGACTGCTGCTCCTTGTACATCAGATAGTCCAATTGAGGTGGCGTATGCTGAGTAATTTGAGAATAAGATAAAGAAAAGAATCCAAATTTGTCAAGTTTAAATCGTACATAAAACAATATGATATATATATATAAATGTATGTATATGGTGAAGAGATGAAGAAAATAAGAATAACGTGCATTGTAGCGACTTACCAGGAAGAAAGGTCGTTATGATGTATGTGGCGTAGACCTGGAGCGGACCAGCAGCAATCCAGATCATCAAATTTACATTCTTGAATAAGCTAACGTCAATGATTTCCGTTATCCGTTTGAGACGATTTTTAGATTTATCGGTTTTCTTTTGATGTTGCTCAGGTGGCTGTCTCTCTTTTATAAGCGGGAACGCCAAAATTCCAAGTGTGAGAAAGACGAGACCCATGATCCGAAAGGTCCTTTAATTGAGTTCAAAAGTGGAAAGGTGAACGTAAAAAGGTAAGAAGAAGCTATAGTAGTAGTAGTAGTAGTAGTAGTAGTAGTAGTAGTAGTAGTAGAGAGGGAGTGATGTATAGGCTAACATTTACCAAGAAGGACCCAACGAGTTGTTTATTTTGATCATTGCGAATGGTAGAACCAGGCCGACTAGTGGGAACATACTTGTCTGGACGCCAAAGGCCGTGCTCCGATATTTCACAAACCATTGTGGCAAGATACGATAACTTGCCTTGTTATGTATACATATCAAAGTTATTCGGGTACAATCGGCGTGCTATTGGCAGTATTTAAAGCTTACTTACCCAGAATAGTATCGCGCATCCAATGCCTGTACACAAACTGTATGAGAAATATAATTGCCATACCTACAATTTATCATAAACAAAAAAAAGATGATATTCATGCACACATTAAATAGAAAATTATATCAAAAAAGAAACTACGATGAACTTACGCTTGTGCAAAATCCAGATAGGATCAAACCACTGGATGCCAGCACTATTCCAGAAACAAGCAAGGTTTTGAAATTAAGGAAGGTGTGAAGGACATTAACTATCAACATAAAAATGGCGACCACCATTTGTAAAATCGAGCCAACCATCGTCAATTGTGTTTGTACGTTCGGTCCCGAGAAAACATTCTCACGAAGAAAATAATCCTGCATTACACCTATGTATAGTGTATATGTTGCATTTCTTGTCAGTATCAACTTGCTTTTTATCTCGAGCAGCTATTAACGACTTGTCGATCAACGTTTGATGGATACTAACCCCTGAATGTATAATTATGCCGAGAAGAAAAGGTATGTTTAGGGAGTTCGTTCATTTAATGTGATCTGTATCAAGCAGATAAACAGAGCAAGGCCTTTCGCAGGGTAAGTGTTTTTTGTTTTGCATTCCATACCAGCAGTATTGAACTCCAATGATAGGCGTTGCCATGACAATGCCTATAGCAACAAGTGCAGCCTGTCTTCCATCAACCGGTGGAAGAAGTAGCGAATTGTTATCCTCATCGTCGTCGTCGGCGCCCACTTCATCATCATATAATACTGGTAGTACTTGTTCTCCGCCCCCTTGTCCACTATCTTTGGTTGGCTGTAGTGCTTGATGCTGTTTACAGTTTGTCGTTTGCAATGTATTCTCTGTGCAGTTGAAGCTGTTGCTGTTGGCAGTGGTACAACCAATGTGCTGGTATTGCTCTTCCCCTGGCTGCTGCAGTGACAAGACGTCTCGACGTTGACTAGTAGTGCTTTCGCTGATCGACATGTAAAATCTATTTTTCATATTTTTTTTGTGTATTCTCAGTGAATTGGAAAAGAAAAATCGATAAGAAGGAAGAAGAAATCCCTCGTTTCATACTAGACGATATAAGAACGTATATACTATACCAAAAGCAAATTGTTTGTAATACAGGTCTTTGAAACTTTCAAGGCTAATTACTTGATGACTAGATGACAAGTGAAAGCGAGGTTCGGTAAAGGAAAAGAAACAACATAATTTTCAGTGTTTCCTTCTTTCCTTTTTGATGAAGAAATAAGAACTTTATGCATTCCTTCTGCATATGATACACTTACGATGTTCTTTTATTTTGCCGTGTAGCGATGGAAAGTGGTCAAGGAGGAAGGGCACAAACGTTAATTGCTTGAAATTAATACATAGCGAGAGCTATATGTTGGAATCCAAGACGCTGTCAATTGTCAGGTATGTGTGATAGTTCAATGCAGATTTCCTACATATTTCTTTTTATGGAAGACTCAGTGACCTTGTGTAATTGGTCGCTTTCTTGCGGTACAATTATGGGGAGAATATTTGAAAAATGTGAGGGATACCACAACTGAAAAAGATAGACCGTATAATGGGGAGAAGGTTAAAATCAATGTTGAAAGTGTTGGGAGACCAGGTAAGAGAATAAAAGAATTTGTAGAAGAAAAAGGGGACGGTAAGATAAAGTCTTTGGAAAATGCTGTAAGGACGAGTATACGTGTGTGTGCATTCTGTACAGGAGTGCATTCTGTAGAGTAGATTCTGGATCCGATGCATCATAGTCAACACCTGGATGGCTGAGGCGGTCTATTCCGCGCAGAAAACAGAGCAGAGTCGGCTAGGCTCTCTTCCATCTGCCACACGAGAGTCTGGTATCAAAGCTGGGTGAATAGAGCAGAATGTAGTCCAGTGGTTGTACATCGTCGGATGGCAAGTCTGGGAGTGGTCCGAAAGCATCAAAGAGCTCGTGAAAAAAAGGGGGCGAAGATGATCACATTCAGCATAGTGTTCTTGATTATCCAGTGGTGTCTCACAACGACATCTTTGCAGCGGATACACTGGGAGCTATTGCCTGCGCATATGGACTAATAAATGACTATCCAGTGAGAAGGCGGGAAGGTAGAGAACAGGGTCGATCGTTCTGGTAGATCGAAGGTAACGAATGGTTTGTGGGTGACCCCGCGGAGCTTGACCTCGTCATTGCCCTTTTGAGCTATAGTCGCACCACCGAACAGGGTCTTTGTGGTGTATATATAATAGATATGTTTGGCAGTCAGAAAGACAGAAAGCTTCAAAGTTATCAATCATCACAAGTCAAGCTGTAGCAATGTTGTTACATATATTACGAGTCTTTATCTCAGGTGTCGAATAGATTGTAAAGATGCAATGCGTGTTACTGTCCGCCTCTCTTTGCATATGATGCACTATGTACATAATACTGTTATTGCAATATAGAGGAGTTGAATGGTAACTGCTTTGGCTGTTATTCGAAATCAATAACAACATACCACTTGAAGCTCCATGATACGGCCAATCGCAAGCCGCCTATCACGTTTGAGGTTATGTAAAATGTAACGCATATATGTTATACTTCTCGGTTTACATGAAAGGAGAGTGAGGGTACAGTAGCAGTCGTACTGTACGTTGTCTAGTGCTTTACATGTAAGCTGATCTTGTCGGCGGATCAGCAGGGCACCATGTTCTGTATGTACTACCACAGTCAGTACCCCTACATTTTTTTGTCATGCACAGAGCCGCCACTAATCTATGTACAAAGATCCTGTGAGTGTTTTTTAAAACCTTTTTTCTCTTCTCTTTCTAATATCCAGATTCGCTAGGCTAAACAATAGCTATAATACATAACATATGCGCATCAAGCCTATACCAGCGACACAAGGAAAAAAAGGACAACACGACAACAGTATCGTTGTGAAACACGATGAAGATGAGGATGACGTTGAACGCAATGTAACTGTCCCATTGTTGGAAGGAGGAGTGGTCAGCAGCAGCAATGGAGAACGCCGCGATAACGACATACAGCATACAACAGCAACAGCAACAAGTGAAGCACGAGGCATGTTCCTCGTCATACTTTCCTCGGTGGCGTCGGCAAGTATGGGGATGTTCATCAAATTGAGCGGCACATACTCTACATTGATCCCATCGACCACTATCCTGCTCGTCCGCGCTATCATCCAACTAGCGTTTGATTTTCTTGGATGTTTTTGGGCAGGCGTCCATCCTCTGGGTAACTCGCAGCAATCTTCAGTGCGCAAATGGTTATTGTTTACAGGTGTAATCGGTGGAGCTAGCATGTCTCTTGAGACATATAGTATAGCCCGGATGCCGATAGCCGATGCTTGTGGTATGTAAAATAACAGCACAAAAATAAAAGCTCCTTTTCAACGTGTTGTATTACTGTATCAATTTCTACAAATATATACTGACCGATGTCTTTGCAAAATCATATTTCCACAGTGATCATCTATCTTTACCCAGCTTTCACAGCCATTCTCGCTGCACTTGTGCTCCACGAACCGTTTCGCCGATTCCATGCAATCAGTATTCTGGCATGTATTGTTGGCGCTGCACTTGTTCTCCAGCCTCAATTCCTGTTTGGCAACAGAGGGATCCCTCGACTTTTTCAACAGCAGCAACAAGAAAAACTTTGGCCTGTATTGGGTGTATTCGCTGATGCGATACTAGGCGCCATTGAAAATGTGACAGTTCGCAAAATTGGATTAGGCGCTCACTATTTGGTGTACAGTGTTTACTTTGACTTGATTGCATTGATTCTTGGCCTGTTATCATCATTTTACGCCGCTGGTAGTATATCCCTTATCTGGCCCCACGACGAAGGATGGAAATTGTACATGTTATTGTTCATGTGTGGTCTAAGTACAGTATTAAACAGAGCATGGATGAATAGAGGGTAAGTTGTTGTGTGGTTTTCTTCTGTATAAGACACACATACCCATATACTTTTTCCTCCAACTTTCTAATCCAGCTGAATTTCCTCATACCCTCTTCCATTACGCACAACGACGGCAAAACATACACAGACTTCAGCTGGCTCGCGCGGGTCCTGCAACGTTGATGCGCATGAATACAATCGCCCTAGCATTTATTATTGGAGTGGTTGTTTTCCATGAGTATCCAGATAAATGGAGTATCATGGGGGCAGTCATTATCTGCACTGCTACCGGTTCTTTATTGTTAGCATCATCCAAAAGACGGGAAACGCAGTGATAACTACAAAAATAGAAAGTGATTACCGTGTATGACCTACAACTGGTCGAATCGCTCAAAACAATGCTCTGAACCTTCGAAGCAGCTAACTGTAGTATCTATATCATCTTGTTCCACTTTTTCAAGTCAATCATGTACTCAAACAAAAACACGATAGTGCAATCAGTTTTCCGTTTTAAGTTCGTCGACAAAAGGTTCGGTACAAATAAAAAGTATGCGTTATATAGCAACAACGTTGACTACGTCAAGTATTTATCGAAATCTCCTTGATGACAAGATGATTGTTCAGCAATATAAACCAAAAGCAGAGTTTGAAAAAAAAAGCACCAGAAAGATCCACAACAAAAAGAAAAATCCGTAATTGAAATGGTGGTTTGACGAGATTGTTAATCGTGTTATAAAGAACAGGTCACTTACTGTGCTTTAGTCAGTGCTTACAAAAACCATCTTAATCATCCAGCTGACTTTGAACCTGTTAAAAACATATATAAAGAAAGGTTTTTTTGGGGAGCAAACGTACAAATTCTCTACATTAAACTTTTTCTTTTCCAAGCAAACACCACACAAAACCCCCAACTCTTTTGATCAAAACAAACAATATGTCTGCACAAACTGCGCGCAAGATTATCAAGTCTGTCATGTCCCGTGAACAAATGGATGGCCTCGGTGCTCGAGGTAAAGAAAAGTCACCGCAATTACCAAGAAAACCAAACATGAAAAAGATATGAATTTTTGAACTCCTATTTTTTTCCCTTTTAATAATAGTCCACCGCAGCATCGGCAGCCAGCAACTTCGCAACCTTGATCCATTCCTAATGCTTGATGAGTTCGACGTCAAGGCTCCTGGTGGTTTCCCTGACCATCCTCACCGTGGCTTCGAAACGGTCACCTATATGCTCGAAGGTGAATTCTTGCATGAAGACTTCAAGGGCCACAAGGGTCGCATCGGACCCGGCGATCTGCAATGGATGTCCGCCGCTCGTGGCATTATGCATTCTGAGATCCCTGCAACCAACAGCCGGGCCCACGGTCTGCAACTTTGGGTCAACCTTGCCAGCAAGGACAAAATGGCCGAGCCCAGCTACCAGGAATACCCCGCATCCCAGGTAACGCATGTGTCACCCGAGGAGGGCGTCCAAATCAAGGTCATTGCCGGTGAATCCCATGGCGCAAAGAGTCCTGTCATGACACGTACACCTACCATGTTTATCGATGTCAAGCTGGCCAAAGGTAAATCGATCGAGCAAGCCATTCCCAAGGAGTATGCTGGTTTCATCTACACGATCTCAGGTTCGGGATTGTTTGGTTCGGAAAAGCACAAGTCGGATGCACATCATACTTTGGTCTTGGATGAGAACGGTGGCACTACGGTCCCCGTCGAATCGTTGTCGGATGATTGTCACTTTGTGATCATTGCCGGTCAACCTATCCGTGAGCCTATTGTTCAGTATGGCCCGTTTGTTATGGTGAGTGGAACAGTTACTGATCAAGGGAAAGGAACAGTGTTGTTAGAAACGAGTAAAAACTAATCTTTTTGTTCATCTAGAACACTCAACAAGA